TATATATATATATTTTTTCCCTTTTTTTTCTAACCAATAATCCCATCAATGATCAATCAATCACTCAATCAATTAAGTACCTGGTGATCCAACGACTTCCATAGTTGAGGCGTCTTCTTACTATTATTTTCTTTTTATCACTTGTTGTGCCGGAGGCTCGTCTGACCCGGTGACCAAATGCCTTTCAACCGCCCTGACTATACGGTCAGGGCTTGTACTAACTCTAACCATTTTGTCTGACTACATGGTTGGCGTACTAACTCCTAAGGTTTTCACATGCGCCCTCTATTTCATCGGCCCTGCTAGTTTTTTTACTACTGACCTCCCGACCTTTGTAGTTGAGGAAATGTAATTTTTTTAAATCTAACCATCACAACTCTCGTTGCGGTTCTGTGAGTGCCTACTGGTTAGTTTTTCCTTATCCATACGTCTCGGCCTTAAACCACAAGTACGCCCAACTTGAAAAAGCCGACGCTGCCGTTAACGAGCCGTGTCGGGCGGGGTACCCACCGATGAAGGACCGGTATTCCCCAAAAAACGGAAAAAAAGAAAAAAGAAAAAAAAAGAGAAGTAACGAATGAAAAACAATAGGCGCGGCAGGGGGGAAAAGAGGGGGAAGAACGAGAGAGAGAGAGAGAGAGAGAGAGAGAGAGAGAGAGAGAGAGAGAGAGAGAGAGAGAGAGAGAGAGAGAGAAAGGCAGAGACTTAGAGAGAGAGAGAGGGCGTAAGAGAGTGTCTGACGCCAAGTTTGGTGGGCATCAGACACTCTCTGACGCCCTCTCTCTCTCTATCTATCTTTCTCAACGTTCAAATGCGAATGCGTTATCGCGGAAGATTTTTTCGCAGTTGAATGTTTGTATATATATATATATATATATATATATATATATATCCTTCTCTCTCTCTGCCTACGGTTTATCGGGCAGTTCTATTTGTGACGATATATATATATATATATATATATATATATATATATATATATATATCCTAACCCTTAAGCAGCTTTGGCCGCGGGGGGAGGTCGATGGTCCGCTCCGCGCCGGACTTGGGGGTGAAGTTTTCCTGCAGGCCGGCGGATAGAGGCGATCGAGGGGGGGGGGGCGTGCAGAGAGGCGCGCATACCGAAACGTTAACAGTGCGCCAGGAAACGAGAGAGCGCGCCCAAAGGGCGGAGTGGCGAAGGGCGTCGATGCGAGGAAATATCTCGAAGCGCCCGTCGTCGATAATCGCGGGTCCTTTTTTTTTTTTCTTTTTT